GAGAATCATTTAATAAAGTGTAATCGATAGAATAAGAACTACTTGTTCGATCTAAAATTAAAAAGTTATAAATATAATAAAATAAAATAATTACAATAATACTTTGTTCAGTATCTAGATCCTCTTTTTGATGAATTTGATAATTTTTAAGTGCAGAAAGGTTAGGAAATTGCTCTTGGAATGAAATTTATAACTTTTTCTTTGTCATAGCTTTAATTTGATTCTTAAGAATAGAACAATAGTATATTTTACCCATGATTTTTTTAAAGAAGGGAAAAATCCGATCATGTGATACATGATTAAGACATAATTTCAGTGCAAAAAAGGTTATATTAAATGTACTGTAGCACCAAAAGAGGCATATTGACCCTTATTTTTGTCTCTCTCTTTAACTGAAAGTGGGGACATTCATTTCCAATTCGTCTTTATTGAAACGTTTGTTTCGGCATGATATCTCGAGAAGTTTTGAAGTTTTTGCAATGGAATTTTACATAACTACTTCCCATGACCGAAGGAAGATCCTTATTGATTTTGAGGTCCAACGTCGTTAATGTATGTCACTCTTGGTGTGGGGTACTAGTATATCACGAATTTTTGAGAAGTAATATTTTACTATTAATATAGCATGACTTAAAATCGCTAAAAAACATTGGGTATGCATTTTATTGAGCAGCAGTACAAATATATTTTCAATGTTACATGAACTCTTTGCACTTAAAAAATGTGACTGAATTTTTTCATACTACTAATGATGGTAAGCCCATTATTCACACATTGAATTGTCGAAGCTTATTTCCAATCATGACAAGGAGAACACAGCAGATGTAGCCGGTCGGCAGGGGATGCTCACTTCTCCATGGCACCTGATTCTACCTCTGATCGATTTAAGAGGTCCGTCTATGGTCTGCTCCTGATGTGTATTGCTTGAATGAACTTTTGAGCCTGAATACTATGCGTATTTTATTGAAAATTGATCAAGCCATATATCGTTGTTTGGAATGAAGTATAGGTTTGGTAGAACAGATACAGATTGTTTGTTTTAAATACTGAAATTTTAAAACTGACAATGATTGTAAAGAATCTAATCACTTGAAATGAAAAATAACTTTGTATGAGATGGATTGCAACTTTCTCAATTAAATCGAATTCCTCAAAAATGCATCTGAAATATTGACTGCATTCATGCTGCTATATGCCTTTTCAGTTGAAATCAGAACAAAAAATGATTACGTAATCTATCTAACTCTACTCTGAATTTAGAATGGTATATTTTAAGTTTGTACGTTCCACTCAACCATTTCATTCTCTTCACTCTCGCCTTATACTATTAAACATTTTCCCCCATTTTATCATATAAAAATGTCTAGGTCTTCTACATTGTATTTGATCCATCGCCGCTTTTTCCCTTTGAATGTATATTTCTTATGAAATAAATATATGGAGATAACAAACAGTATTTAAGATCAAAAGTCCATTAAACAATACAGAATTGGAACAGAAAACAGTTCAAACACGGATCTCTAAAACATCAGAGATGGGGTCAGGTGCCATGGAAGAGTGAGCATTCGTTGCCGATTGCTCACATTCTCCTTGTCATGATCGGCTTTTAACGAGAGAATTCGTCGACAATGTGTACATACATGTTATGGCCTAACAATTTGTATGAAAAACTTCAGTCAGCATTTAATTTAATGACAAATTGTATTTGCTGACAAGGTCATTGTATCGACCAAAAAACGTACGAAATGATGACTTTAAACGTTCTTGTTTTCGCCAATTGTTTGTCAATAATTTACCTCGTTTTAGACATTCAAACGTAGAGCATGTTTTCGCGTATCGAATAAACTGAGAGATATAAATTCCATATACAGGTGAAGGTATTTTGCTGCATTAGTACGGGAAGTTGACGATTGAAAAGTTAAAGTCATAACGTTTGTCATTGAACTTGGTTGTTAGATTACCATTAATGTCTTTTCAAGTAAGATATATAAACAAATATGAGACAGATGTGTCAGATTCTGTTGTGTCTTTTACCTTGTCATTGGTCATTGGCAAAATTATTTTGTTAAAAAACATTCTGATTGTACACACAAGTACTCTGAAGTTGACATCAAAAAGATGCTTGAGTTTCTGATTGACAATATCTATGTCGTTTGTTGAGACCAGGTCTTCCAACAATCTATTGGAATTCCCATGGGTAACGATTGGGTCCCGTTATTAGCAGACCTATTTTTGTACTCATATGAAGCAGAATTTGTGCAAAATCTTATGCATGAAAAGAAGACAACACTTGCTGTGGCTTTCAGCCAGACATTTACATATATCGACGACGTATTGTCAATTTACAATGATAATTTCAATTCCTATGCCAATACGATATATCCTGGTGAGCTTAAAAGACACCACTGACACATCTATTTCGTATTTGGATATTTCACTTGAAAAAAACATTAATGGTAAGCTTACAACTAAGCTCTATGATAAACGTGATTAACTTTTCTATCGTCAACTTCCCTTACTTATGCAGCAATATACCTTCATCACCTGCAAACGGAGTGTAAATATCTCAGTTGATTCGATACGCAAGAGCATGCTCTACGTATAAACAATTTCTAAAACGAGGTAAATTAATGACAAACAAGTTGATGAAACAAGAATTTCAGCTATCTCGTTTAAAGTCATAATTCCGTTAGTTCTATGGTCGGTACAGTGACCTTTTTAGAAAATACAATTTATCATTGAGTCAAATGCTGACTGACGTTTATCATACTAAGTGTTAGTCCATTATTCATATACTGAATTGACGACAGATTTTTCCGTTATTTCCCAATTATGGAGCACATGGCGGGCGTGACCGAGCAGGGAATGCTCACTCCTCCATGACACCTGATCCCACCTCCGATGTTTTGTAGGTCCGTAGATGGCTCTGCTCCTATTTTGTATTGTTTTATGGACTTTTGATATTGAATACTGTTCGTTATCTCCATATGTAAAAATAATGTTTCACTCAAGCTCACCAACATAAGATATTTTATTATTCAGCCTTTACAGATGAGAAGTATTTGTATCTTATGTTTGTTGTTTAAGGAATAAAGCTTATTTTAACCTATGTTATACGATATAACATAACTAGGAGCAGTTTACACTTCGCAATTTATGAAAAAGCGTAAACCCGCACAAAATTATGTTACGCTGTAAAACATAGATCAAAATAAGCTTCATTCTTTATAATTTAATTTCAGTGTTGACAATAAGACAATTTTTGTCATGTGCTTATACATTTTAAAAAAAATTGAATTCTTTACGGAGTAATAAACCTTTCGACGACCCATGATGAAAGTGCAACAACTTTTATATAAAGAGGGATAACTCACTCATTACGATATGTCACCTGCATATGTAAAATATTATAGCATGTTACATATCATTAATGTTATCTCGCCTGCAAAAAGCAAGCGGTATTATATGAATCTGTATCTTATTCTTTTATTTTTCAAAATAATTATTTTCTTTTGTTTTTCTTTTAATTAAAGATATAAGAAAAATGAAAAACGCAATGAAACTAATGCCTTATTTGAAAAGGCTCTGTTTTCTGATGTTATATTTTCATTTCCTTTTAATCTCATTTTAAAGCATTTTTGTACAATTTGTCATATGGGACATGCCTTTATGTTGATTAAAGATAATGAATTTTCCAGGTGTTTGCCTGATTTTCTAAGTTAAAAAATAACAGATGTAGTATCCTGCAAATAATTATTTATCTAGGATAGTTACATTAAAACAAAAATTACAAACATGAAATCTATTTATCACACCTGTTCACCTGTACTCTTAGAATAAGTTAGCAGTTATGGTATGATATTAATGTAACAAATATATTATCTAATTTTCGCTGCATTTGATAATGGTCTGTAATGCAAAATAATGTGCATTGGATACCTATGATACCCTAACCATTGTACGACGAGCACTTTTCAGCATACCCGGAAATATGAGCTAACTTTCTGTGTGGGTGTGAAACGAAAAGGGTATTTTTCTGTTTGATTAAATACACCATATGCTAGAAACCTAAATGAAAAACAATGGAAAAAATTTCAAATTAAGGTCTTCTAAGTTTTATAAATTGATCCACCATGTTATAATAAAATTTATGAAAAAAACAAACAAACAACAAACAAACAAGTATTTGTAAAAAAAAAAAAGAAAAAAAGAAGAAATGAACAAAAAAATTAAGTAATTAACACATTATATGTCAATTTTTAGAATTATATCTAATCCATTTTCAAATAAATAAGACAAATTTAAGAAATGAGTATATTAAAGTTTAACTATTTTATGTTATTAACTAAAATTAAAGGCATAACTTTCATAGTATACTTTGCAACATCAGTTACATGGTAAACACACCTATATAAAAAAGGTCATTACATGTAATCTATATCTATTGTCTCCATTACTTAAGTATATTGTATCGGTTTTATATCCTCAGACGATCATCTAGGTGTTCAGATGAAATTTTACAAGGACTGAATCTAATGGCTTCTCTTTCTTTCTGAACAATTTTCAAAGCAATTCAAATACATGTACTTGAAAACATTTTCATCTGGAATTATTTACAAAATATGAAAATGAGAAAAAATACAAAAGGAAATTTTTCTTTTCAGGTTAAGTCATTTTTTAATGAATACATTTTCGGTAATTTAAGCATTAAAAGAGATTTTGAAAATAGTAACAGTATGATTCTTTAATAATCTAATTAGATAGTTATCATTATTAAAAGATCTTATTGAATAAACTAATACAGTTACAGTGTTAATGAGGAATGTTGTCGTGCGATTGTACATGCATCCTGACATGCCTTTTAGTGGTATGTGTATGTGTTACTATTTACAGCCTACTTCATGTTTATTGCAGTCAGTAATCGTCAGGTAGACAAGGCTGTCAGACCAATTGATAATCTAACGATAACAACGCCGATAAAACTCAAATTTCTATCATACCTGCTCGTTTGATCCGATGATGTCCCTCTGTTGTTCGGGAGCCGCGGAAAAACCGCAGGATGAGGTCAGAACGTTCGGCGCGAAGTTGGCACCTACCGTTCAAGTGCCAAGTGTCAGCTTTCAAAGATTTTCAAATCCAGTTGAAATCATTCTGACGTCGTCTGAAGACAATAATGTAAATTTTGTTTCAATTTTGAAATAAAATCTATATTATTTGAAATTTTATCATGGCTTTATCAATTCTTTGATTGAACTGTAACCTCATAAACGTAACTGCCACCAAATTGTCTCACTAAAGAAACAAGAACCCATTTATGTAAAAAAAATTATGACACAAGTAAGATCTATGTATATCATATTACAAACATTTGCATAAGTTGCTATTATATTTCCAATCAGTAGACAGTATCTATCAATTAAATGTCTACCCATGAATTGTGATTTAAATTTCCCTATTGTATTATTTTTAGCGAGGCAGCATATAAAATACTTTCTCCTGAGACAAATGACCTCACAAAGGTGTTTAAGGAAATAACTTTTCATAACCCGGGTGCAGTTATGTGGCATAATTTATCAAAATATTGAAAATATTTTACAATAAAATCTATTCCAATATAATATTCAAGAAGACAAAATAACAATATCAAATATAGAACATGAATCACCCACACCCTGGTACGGTGAAAATTAATATCTATAACCCACAAAAGACACCAAAACATAGCGTGTGGATACCCACCATCCCAGTCTTAAACACTATATTTAGTTATACCCTAGATGAACATATCAAAACATGTAACGGTGTCATTTGCTACAATGTACCTGAAGTATGTGCATAATTAGAGGTGTGTTAAGTTGTCTGTTATTTCAGTCGTTGGTGGTATGCCTTTGATTCATTGAAACTCTAGCTAGTCTTTGAGGGAAGGATAGCATTACGGTTAACTGTACGCGGTGAACGAGGAGGCTACTGGAGGTAGCCACACGTCTACCACAACGGAGACTGGACGGCAAACTCAGACACGCCACTGACAGGACTGGGGCTCGTTTGGTTACATGTTTACTATTTTACTATAATAGACATAACATATCATATCATGTGTAGATAGTGAATGGTTCATTTGTTTTAAAACGTCTGTAATATTTAACATGGCATCTAAAAATTGCATTTAGTTTTACTCATATTTTTGTCAGTCTCCACATGAGTGACAAATTCCTGAGATGACAAACGTATATTTTTCATTATTACGGATATCCGTTTGACATGCATTACGATATATTTTCAATGCATTTTACCCTTTATTATCAATACACATGGCTCCCTATGTGTGTGGCAGGTCAAAAGGGAATGTTTATTATTTCTAGGCACCTGATCCCATTTCTAGTGTGTTATGAAATCCACAGTCTGTGTTCTGTTCACAGATTTGTATGCTTGTAGATTTTTTGATTGATTAATATTACTGTTAATTATGTTAACCTATCTCATCTCATAACCAAAAGAGAACTGTTCATATTTTCACTGGAAATAAATTAAAAGAAAATTCAAAATATTCTGAAATTTCAGATTTTTTAGCTGTAAATGTTTAAAATTTAGTTTCCTTCAATCTTTGATACATCTATTCATGCTGATCAATTCCTGACAGCTGGTGCAAGGCATATCATAGATTCGATGGATTTCTCACATTTTTAAACTTTCGCTATTATCGATGAATGACAAGTGTGATTCACACAATTTAAAATACATTTTTCTTCGCCATAATGAAATTTTCAAACTTTGAAAGCGTTCACTTGAATCTTGTGGTTATTTTTGTGTCGTCAGATAGCGTGCAGTACTCTATGACAGTGGCAGACTAAGAAATATCTGCTTAGCTTTGTTTTTTAGATGCACTTGATTTTAGTCTCGGGGTATCATGTTTCATGTGACAAATTAAAGAGAGATAACAAGCCAAAGAATAGAATATTTCAAATGATTTCAAATGAACATTTATCACGAGTTAATTTGTAGCATGAAAATAGACAACAAAGAAAAGTTCAATAAAAAGCCACAGAGTAAAATGCAGGACTAGGTCCGTGACGTTGGACATGTTGTTGTCAGATATTAAGATATCAATAGAAGACATAGATTAAAGTAAGCATTTGAAATGCATTAGGTGTTTATTTCCAATGCATAAGAAACAAACAAAAGAGAACAAGTTTATGTAATTTCATTATCTTATAAACATCTTAGAAACACAACAAGACCATTCAATTTAGTAAGAGATCAATGGAACAGATTTTTTCACTTAATTTATTTATAAATTAAGACACAATCGATGCATTTAATTTCATAACAATTTTTAAAGTATAAGACGTCTTTTGTATTTAATGTTTAAAGTCTGTAGTACAAAAGGAATAAGTATTGAAATGATGTTAAAATTAGTGTTCTCATTGTAGTCTCAACTAAATTTCTCCTTAGATTACACGTTTATGGAGGCATTCAATATACTCATATTTCTCTTGATATAAATTAAGATTAAAGAAATATTTGATAATTCATTAAAAATTATGTTTAATGACATAATAGATTACAGCTGGACACAACATAAAAGTTAAAAGACTATCTTTGGTTCAAACATTTTTATACCTATTCTTTGCAAAATTGCAATTTTATTTTTTAAAAATTCTATTCACTCACTAAATATTTATATGATCGATTTCTAAAAATCGATATTATAATCAATTTAAATAATTTTCCATAATTGAAAATAAGATCAGTACATTATTCATGTTAAAAGATCTATCATAAAAATTTGAATTTCTTTGCGTAAAATATATCATGGTACACTCTAATGTATTAGCTCTATAATCATGAATGGATTTTACCTCTTTGAAATAAATCATTTATATGCATCTGCCTCTAAACTATCAATTATTTAAATATGTAAAAATGTTCTATTTTTTAAGAAAAAAATCTAAAGTGTCATGTCAATTCTAATTCTGTAATACATCTAAATGTGCACCTATTATGTCAAACTAAAAGTACAAAACAAGACATTGCATATCACTGCAAATGAAAATTTATACATAGATAAGATCTATACTGACAGGGGCTTACATTTTATTTTACCCTTTAACAGCAAATTAGGCAATATGTTTAACGCTACCAGCAATTTCGAGAAAAAAAAATCACAATTACCCGTGTGTTACAGAAACTGAATTTATTTTCACTTTTCAGTCGATTTTTTTTAAGTTTTCAAATGTTGAGAGAGACGGGGTTGTATTATGCATGCCAATGGGAAAAATCGATTGTTTTACATCTCTTTATAATTATTACAAACTGTAGCTCCCCCTTCATATATTAAAGGGTTCTTTTAATTGAGTGAATCCTTTGTAATGTCCAATATTTCATGGTTTACCTCAAAATGCCCCCTATTTTAAAATTTGAAGAGAAAAGGCCTCAAAGCGAAAATGACGCCGTTTTAAGCAAATTGAAAAATGTGTGTTTTAGAAAAAAAATATATAAATATCATTATTTATTTTGATAGAATATGTACCTTTATTTTGGCAACTTATCTAAAAATAAAATCTAGTTCGGATACTACTGCATCCACAAAGTAAGAATACGAGGATCAGAGATAAATGTGAATTAGAGAAACATCGGAAACAGGGAATGGGTAAAGTAAAAGTAACATTTAATATTAACATTTGTAAATACCAGCAAAAAGATACATTCTTTATTGAGTCTTTATGAAATAAAATTCAGTAAAAAATGCCACTTAGATTGGCTTGTAATTTCTAATACATGTAAAAACCTGCGTCTGTTCAGTGGAGGAGACAGATGGTTAACCACACCTATTTGTTTGAAGATTTAAAAGCTGAACAGTAACCTAGATCATGTTATGATGACCATTGATTTGACAGAAATTGAGAGACGTAGTAAGGACTCTGCAAATAGATTTATTTCTGGTTGGAATATTATAATTACTTTTTCAGAGAATACAAATTCAATTTTATCTTAATGCAATCAGCAAAATTTATTTTAGATAAATGAAATATAAAGAAAAGGACATATATAAAACAAGCTCAAAAGTCCACTGTCTGAAACAAAACAAATCTGGTGCGGATCTAACACATAACTCTAAAAACATCTGAGGTGGGATCAGGTTCCATAGAGGAGTAGGCATCCCCTGTCATCTGGACACACCCGCCGTGCGCTCCTTGTCTTGAACACAGAGATGTAGGCATCCCCTGTCATAATTGGGAAAACGGAAAAACTTCGTACACAAATGCCTGCGTAAATAATGATCTCACATTTAGCATTCTACTCAGTGATAAATTGTATTTGTTGACATGCTATATCCTCAAATATACATTAAGAAAACATTTCAGATAAGTGAAAATTGTCATTCTGTGAAGAATTATTTTTTAGAAAAAGAATTTGCAAAGGTTGAAATGTGTCTTTCCTAAAGAAAATTTATTTCAGAAATTAAAGATTTTAGCTAAGTCAAATACATGATCCTATTTTGCATTGTTTTATAGATTTTTTTGAACACTTCTAGTATACCGGTCCCCAAAAATATGGCGCTTATTCCGTGCCGATTTGAATGAGAAGACTTTGTACCATAAAACCACAATAACAATAAACATATATTGACGCAAGCGTCAAAAATCGGCCGCAAACCAATTAATTGTTCCTTTTCTGAAGCAACGAAAGACTGAAATGGTGATCTGTTTTTAAAATATCTTATATTTATCTGTTAATATATATCCTTGTGACATTAAACGCTTGTGCACGACATTGCATGATTTTCTTAATTATAAATGCATGTTCAGTATTACATGTATAAGCAAAGTACCCCTGGTCCTCCGCGTCAACAAAGCGTGGGCCTGTATAATTAAGAGACATTTACATAAAAAGTTTAAAACTAAAGTTTAATGTAATCTACAACTCTTTCAGTTTCTTTGAGTTGTAGCGGAAAAATTCTTAGCACATTGTAAAACGTGCATTTTCCTCGTCTGCTAGGGCCAAATCTTGTAATATTCTGTAGCCTGCTAGGTATTTTGATGAAT